GAAGTGAATAAATTTCTAGGTTTGAGAGAAGTTTCGAGGCTTGAGAGAATTCTACTTAAAAACCGGCGGAATAGACACTCGTGAAATTACTCAGTTTTTGCCGCTTTAAAGTGAATAAATTTCTACATTTTGAAAAATTGAACCAAACCAAATAAACATATTTACATTTCAACCAACCAAATAAACATATTTACATTTCAACCAACCAAATAAACATATTTACATTTCAACCAACCAAATAAACATATTTACAACATTATTATTGAAGGGATAATTATTTGTTAAGTTATCCTATCAGAAAATTTGATAAGTTGTCTAAACCTCTAAAAATTTCTCGTTCGTGAGCTGAAGTTTCTATCGGATGTCCGATGTCATTCAATTATTTAATTACATTTCGTTTTGTATGTGTAGAAAGGCTCCGAAATAAGGGCTTGATTAAATCATTATTGAAAATAGTTTGTCGGCCTAAAGAAAGCGCACGGTTTTTGTTTTGTTTTTTTTTCATGTTTTGTGTTCATCGATAGGTTGTTTCAATTATTAATTTTTTGTTCATTTATTCACTTTTATTCATCCTTCTAAATGGCGATAGTTATTACAACACGATCATCAGTAAATGTCTGGGGCCACTGACGGCTTTATTTCTATATCATTTATTTATTGAATGGGCCCCGACAACGTTCGTCTGTGGGTATTTCCAAAGCGTTATCGGCATCACCGGTGTATCGGCGGGAATTTTTGTGTCATCGTAAATCTCATGATGATATATAACTGGCTCGTATCATTGATACGCATGGTGACAAGCAAGCGTGATAAATTAGGCTATGTGCTACAGAATCCATCATTTACCTTAGTTCTGTTCGGAAGTTTGTACTAACACACTTCTTACCAACCGCCCCACAGAGAATAATGGTCAATTTAAATTGATCCGCTCAATTGCTTGTCAGGCTGCGATAATTATTTCATTTTAAAAGTGCTGGTGTAACATTCTTTGAGTCGGTTAAAAATGTTCCAAATTAGAACTGTCCTAATAGTATCAGAATTTACATTAAAAATGTAACCGGCATTTTTCGCTGACAAACCTTTAGGTAAATCTAATAAATCTTCATTTTATTACACAGACAAATAATGAAGGGACATTCTCAGGTGAAAAAAAGCGCGACCGTTGGTCGAGTGTGTAGTTAAGGCGGCAGGTTGCCCATTATACGCTCTTACACGTTCATGAAAATATAAGATCGTACATCTTAGATCTATTCGAGGCATTATGTAGAAAGGAGTGATAAATGAAAATTTAGGACCGTAGATCTCAGATTTCTTCGGGCGCACTTTTTAATTGAAGTAAGGGGAATGGAAAATCTAAGGTCTAAAAAGCATTTGCGCACTCTCTTAAGTCTAAAGTATGGCAAAGTGAACACTCAAGAGAGCAGATTTTACGCGCATTCGTGCGCACTCCGAAGTCTATAATACCGCAAACTGGAGAACTGAGATCTTGGATCTTATAATCATTCAAGCTCAGTCTCTAGTCTTAAGCAGAGAAAACCGACTGTATAAGATTGCAGATCTCAAAAACATTCACATGCTTTCTCACGCACAAAGTATTATATTTTAAAGGCAAAAATAGAATGCGATGATAGAAAATTTTTTGTAAATAAGTAGAAGTGTGTTAAATTTTGATTACAAGATTTGTAGCAGACAGACAGACAGACAAACAAGAAGTGAAGTTAAAGAGAAGTGTTGTAAAATAGAATGCGATGATAGAAAATTTTTTGTAACGAGTGTCGTACAACAGAGAACAAATTTCCTTTGCATGAATCGGTCTATTACAACAGCAATGTTGACCTCTGGCAAGAGTTGGCGTTTTTAGCGCTTTTTCTCATCTATGGAAAAGATATAACTCAGTACTTACTTCAGTGAGTGACAGAGAGCGCATTTTCTCGTCGACGAAAACGTGGTCACGGACGGACAGACAGACGGACGGACGAACGGACATGGCGAGCACAATAGCGCCTTTTTAGCGCATTTTCTCATTTATGGAAAAAATGCACTATTGTGCTCGCCATGTCCGTCTGTCTGTCTGTCCGTCCGTGACTTCCGCGGAAGGACGGACGAGAAAATGCGCTCTCTGTCACTCACTGTAGTGAGTACTGATTTAATTTTTTTACCAGTCATGTTTCTGGTTAGCTTTCTATGCTCTATTTTCACAAGGAGGTAGGTACATGGAAGGCTTGTTTATAGCCATCAAGCGAGATCAGGACAAACCAATTTATGAACTTCGGTCTCTGGCAGTTCTAAAAATAATATTCTCTTGCTCAGATCCATAATTATCTTCCTCAATATTCCAGAAATATTCCATCGATATAAACGAAGTAATAATTAACATGAGGGCTAACACACAAGTATGGTGCTGCATAGAGTTTTAAGCTAGAATTATTAAATTAATTTTTATGTGCATTTCAGATTTATTTATTTTTTATTGTAGTGCTTTGTATCGTGGATACCAGCCAGCCGTAGAATACAGCGTTAAAGTAGACACTTTGCCTCCCACGAGTAGTCGTTCATCCGCGGCATGCATTAGGAAAACGCGCACTTTGCGCCTCTTATAAATAAAAAAATAATCGATTCTCCTACCCCCACAAAAAAGTCCCTTTGGACAATTAAATTCTTGGCTTGTAAATAAGAGGAACAAAGGTTAGTTCCGTCACAAGCTCTCATTTGGGAAGCGTATATCGCAATTTATGCTCGATTTTGATTCCAGATTGGATTTATCGAAATTTCTGACGTTATTGCTCATGAATACCAAGCTTCTGCCTCCCATCGAGACCGAGAAGTTTACTCTTTGAAATATTTGAAATTTTCATTTTGATCTTTTCGATATTTGTACGAATTTATTCGAATTTATTTTTAGGTTCTTTAGTGACGTAGGTAGCTTCTGGAACGCAAGAAAATTGATAGCTGAGATTTATTAACAGAGATTTAGCTTAAAAGTTGTGTACAAACAATTTCAGCTTTTTAAGCCCTCTTTATAAAGAAAGTTTACTCGCTTATAATGCTAGAAAAATTTTAATTTGTTTCAAAAACTTGCAGTCATCCACTGAACCAAGATTGGAAATTATTGATGGTTTTCTTATTATAATATTTACGTATGAAAACCATCATAAATTTTTCTTAAAGCCCCATTCAAAATCAATCCCAAAACAAAAAATAAAAAAAATACTACAATAATATACGTTTAAAAATTACTTTTTAAAGACAACACTTCTAAAAAATCCGGTGTCTCTAATGTCGCACATGTACAATGAATTTCTAATTTTATTTTCTAATATTAAAAAAATATTACTCAGTACTCACTGCAGTGAGTGACAGAGAGCGCATTTTCTCGTCGACGAAAACGTGGTCAGGGACGGACGGACAGACAGACGGACGGACATGACGAGCGCAATAGCGCCTTTTTTCAATAAATGAGAAAATGCGCTAAAAATTAATTTTCCAATTTTTTAACATATAAAAAAATTTCAAAATTATTCATTCTGTTAATTGATTAATGCATTGTCTCCGGCTTTACGCAAGTATTCAAAATTTCAGATAGATTGGACAGGCAGAAATTTGTTAAATATGATTATAAGATTTGTAGCAGACTAAATTATTTTTCAATTTTTTCCAATATTAATTTTTTTATTTTACAATTATTTATTCTGTCGATTGATTCATGCATTGTCTTCGACTTGACGCAAGTCTGTAAAATTTCAGATAGATTGGACAGCCAGAATCGTGTTAAATATCGATTATAAGATATGTAGCAGACAAAATTATTTCTTCAATTTTTTAAACATTGAAAATTTTTTCCAATTTTTTAAATTATTATTTTCTCAATTGATTCATGCATTGTCTCCAAATTTACGCAAGTTTGCAAAATTTCAGATTGATAAGAGAGGTAGAAGTGTGTTAAATATCGGTTAAAAGATTTGTAGCTGACAGACAAACAAACAAACAAACAACCAGAAGTAAAGTTAAAGAGAAGTGATGTAATAAAAAACTATAACAAAAAGTATAATACAATACATACATAGTACAAAGCCTTTCAGTGATTAACCTGCTAATTTCGACTGCCTGCCGGATATCTGCTACTAGACACAATATCCTTCGAATAATAGAGGATATTGGAACATCTGTCTTCCATATATAAGTTTATAATTGTTTCACAAATTTAGATCTATTTCATTTATGTCGATGAAAGTGTAGAATTTCTTTGGTATTAAAGGGAATTGGCTTTCCTAAAATGGACAGATCGGACGGCAAGTTTTCCTTACGTTAAGTCTGTTATGGCAACCGCTCTGGCAACAACAGAGGCAGGACCGAGTTTAAATGGAGTGGCAGTGTTCCTGTAGCAATGTCCGGCTTTCGAACTTCGCCGATGACCAGCAGGCAAATTGGGTTTGAATGTCTCACTCGATCTATTACAATAACAAGGAGAGACGGAAGGGCAGTCAGCAGCTGCCACCAATGGACTCGATTGGGAAACACGAAGCAAGCTACCGATAAAAGTTCGATACCATCGACAACGCAATCGATGGACTTGAAGCAGCTTTTCGATATCGTTAGACTTGTGGTGAGCTCGCGGTCCAGGTATTGCAGCTGCTACCAAGCAGAAAAGAAAAACTGGAAGATTTCTTCGTTTAAATTTCGTTTCCATTCCGTTTTACGTTGTTTTCCATGTCGCGTCTTTTTGTTCAGTCAAATAACGATATTCTCCACATTGCGTCTTTGCTTTGTTTTTTGTTCTAGGATTTCTCGGTATCAACTATCACTGAAAGTCTACGAAATTTATCTCCCCGTAAATTAATTTTAAATGAAATTTTTACATATGAACTGATTTGAACATCCATGAAAGGCTTCTTGCTGCTATATTGGACTATCCTATGGTATTCATGATCATATTTTCAAAAGAATTAAGACGCTTTTTCCTCGAATTTTTCTATTTAGAATGCATATGGATTGACGAAAACCAGACTTATATTTGCTTGTATACTACATTTTGGTACGTCTACAGACTATAAACTACACACAAAATGTATCAATTAACCTTCCAATCAACAGTTTAATTTGCTTGTATACTATATTGTGGTACGTCTACAGACTATAACAACACACAATCCTTAATGAGAACCTCTCAATTAATCATCGTATCATTAGCCTCAAGTTTCTCATGTAATAGAGATAAAAAGAAAACACTTTCTGATTAACGCTCATCCATTTTAACCGCTATGTCTATTTACGTCGTGCTTGATCTGTACAAGTTTTTGTTTAAGGCACAGAAACCTCATGAAAGATGCTTCAAAATATTCCGCCTATAAAGACTCCTCACAAAATTGCATATTTGTCTTGTTTCTTGTACAGTGATATAAAGTAATGCAATTATGCTGCAATAATATACTTGCAATTAAATAAATATTTGTAAGGATGTTTTTATTATATGGCTGCAAAATCATCACAGCAATAACAAGCGCTTTATGCGTTAATTTTGTTCGCTTAAATGACAAAAAAATTAAATACAAATAATTTAGTGTAATCGAAAACAACAGAAGAGTCACATAAATTTTTGGAATCTTAGCCTGTAGTTCCAATATGTTACCAAAGATCATTTAATATATTTCAATATTTTCTGGCAAACCAAGTAACACGAAATATTCTACTCCATTTTGACCATTTTATGTAGACTACAGGCATATTGGCCATAAGGCTTTGGGATTTGAGGCTTTGTTGAAATACACCTCCGCAGGTTGTAAACTGCGAGAGCTGCATTAGCTTGCTTCGAAATACTCGAATTCTGGACCCCAAGTTGGGGAAGTTGTTGGGAGGACCGTAGGAGTTTGACAAGTTGGAGTACATCGACAACGCAGGATCCACTGCACCCGTTTGACGACCACTTCATAGTTACTGGCCGTGACATTGTCGTATTCCTGTTCTCCTGCAACGGTGAGATCTCCAATCCTGCCTTCATGGGTGTCAGGATCAGTGGCGGCTTCGAAGAGAGCTGCTTGGTCCACTGGAGACAAAGCAGAGTCCGGGAGCAGGTACGGGGGCACGGCGTGCAGTGGACATAAGAACGTCACCTCGAGGCTTGTGTCGACGAAGGCGGCGCAGCAAGAGTCCCGGCAGCTGTTGCAGCGCTTCGCTCTGTAGCGTCTCTGGCTCACGCACGGGCCAGCGATCAATCGCTCGGCTCGCTCGGCACGCAGCGTTGCTTTGCAGTGGTGGCTGCGCTGCTTGAGAGAACATAAGTAAAATATTTAATATGCTGGAATTTAATATTGAACGCAATCATATGTTGTGTCGAACTGTTATTTTTAATTCTGGCTCAAATACGGCCTGCAATCAAACGCTCGGCACGGTCAGTGCCGAATGGTAAATGGCAGTGATGGCAGTGGTAAATTGATATGATGAACTGCATAATGAATAATTAATGCTAAGTATATACGCTGGTCATACTCTACTACTGGTCGAAAATTATTTTACTTTTTCTCCCATGAAAGGCCAATTCAATATATGTAACAACTTAAACATTTAAGCCTATATTTCTTGCAGCAGGTAATTTGAGTCTCATGTAATTAACCCCCACCTTTAATACGGTCACCATACTCTGATCGTGTTGAACTCACTCGCTGAGAATAGCGCAGCACTTTAATGCGTGTATAACTCACCCTTATCAACCGGCGCCGGCGTTGAGGTTCAGCAGAAACCATTGATGCACAAGGTCTGAGTTGGCAGAGCCTGGTCTGCAGCTCTGGTCTGCAGGTGATGCTGTCTGTAGCCCACCTCTGGGACAGACCCAGACCGCAGGAGAGAGACGAGCATGCAGACCAGCGACTCACGGTTACGTCGCACCTCGAGCTGCCCGGCGCCATCGCATCTTGGCGTCAACGGGGAAAGTTTAATTATTCAGAGGTCTAAATTATTTCAATAATACTACTACGCTCTTGTATAGGAGATAAAATTTGTTAATGCACTGCTTAAACGTTAAATTCAACATTATAAGCATATTTTATGGCCCTTGGCTTTTCCATTAAATGGCTACAACAAGCTTGAATTGGAGGTGAAAAACATTTGAATCAAGTATGGAAATCAATCATTACATGAACTTTTGTGTTAGTTGCATCAATTAAAAAATATAATTCTGACGAACCAGCGATTTTAGGACTAGGGATGGAATGACCTAGTGTCGTCACTTTGCTGGTGCCGCCACAATACTACTGCCATCACACTACTAGTACCGTCACGATACTCCTGCCATCACACTACTAGTACCGTCACGATACTAGTGCCATCACGCTACTAGTGCCGACACAATACTAGTGCCATCACGCTACTAGTACCGTCACAATACTAGTGCCATTACGATACTAGTGCCGTCACGCTACTAGTGTCGTCAAGCTACTAGTGCTGCCACGCTACTAGTGCCGTCACAGCCGTCACTATGCTGGTCTCGTCACTATGAACTAAGTGATGACTCACCAGGATCTGGGTCACAGGTCCACTGTCTGCAGCATTGCTGTCCTGTCTCCTGCAGCGCAGGGTTCCTGCAGTGCGAGGATGGCGGCAGCGCCTCTTCAGGACACAGCGACACGCATGCGTACGCGCCGCCCTTAAACGTAAACAAGTAATTTATATTTAACAGCATCATCATCAAAGAATGTTTAAATAATAATGCGTTCTTTTTGTTACTGTCACATGGTGGCAACCCACTGAACAAAAGCACTCAAATTTATTTTTTCGCTGCCTTTTCGTTAATGATTCAACAATTTATTCATCAATAGACAAAACCACACAGTACGCGTCAGCTGAGCCATCATTGCTGATACCTATATTCATCATTAATGTGAGTCATTTTGTTAATGTCACATGGTGAGGCACCGCCCTGGACTAAAACACGCAATTAATTTTCTTTTTCTGCTGAACAATTCGTGGTTGTTAAGGTAGAGCAACTGAGGTAGAATCTTATACAAATAACAATACTGTATATTGTTCACATTTATTTCATGCAGAAGCTAAGGCTATGATTAATAAGGAGAGTGTCTCCCCTAAAAAAGAACTTTTTTATTTACCGATGGATCATCTTGAAACTCGGTACACGTATCTAAAACGGAATTCTAAGACTTTTTTGTTCGTGTGAATTTAAAAAAAATGAAAGAAAACGTGAAATTCATAGAAAACGAGAAAAAAGGGGGTCCTGTAGAATTCTATCAACTCCTAGGATTTTCAAGCTACAACATCGAGACACGAATCATTCGATTCGTCTTTTCATTTTCTATCGATTGACCGTTCAGTTTTTTGAAATTCGAATTTGTTCGGGGGGGGAGAGTTTTTTTCTGAAAATTCACGCGGTTCAACCCACCCCCCCACTCTTTTGCATATATAATCCGAACTAAAACGAAATTCAAAAAAGTGAACGGTTGATCGATAGAGAATGAAAAGACGAATCGAATGGTATATCTCTCAATGCTGTAGCTTGAAAATCATAGGAGGAGATAGAATTTTGGTCCGAAAAAGTCAAGTTTTCAGGAGAGCCGAAAAACCGCGGCCAGCAATGTAAAGGCATGTAACGTAGCTTAGATACCAAAAGTAAGCGTTGTCTCACTTCAAAGTCAGTTAGCTGTGCATAGGACGACTACATCAACACTTTTCCGCATGATGGCTGAATGGTAACTGAGCTGCAGGTCCAGTGATAGCACATTTTATATGGCTTGGCCCTAATTATCCCCATAGACTTTTGTGGAGGGACCCTACCACCCTCCCCCTTTCGGGATCTGTCCTGAACGCATAAATCAACGTACAGAGATGGTTCTAGTACCGTTCGATGCAGCAGAAAGTAAGCTTTAAGATGAGTTTAAAAACCGGAAAAGCCTAAAATTTTGATTTTTAGGGTAGACGCTCCCCTTAAAAAGAGTAAAATAATAATTTTGTGAAATATTATAGTGGAACTGTGAAAATCTATTGGAATTAATTTTCATCTCAGAATAAAAAAATAATCAGCTCTGGCATGCATTAGAGTATACATTCTGTTTGACTTTCACGCAGTTGTAAACAATCGAATGACGTAGCCAGCATTTGAAGCATTCAGGTTTCATAAAGGCTTTAAAATAAGCTCTGCAATTAATGCTACTAATGAGATGCTGCAACTTCCAGTCATTGCAGTCTGCTAAAATTTTCCGACGCTTCTCGTTTCTTCGAGTTATCATACATGAACAATTGCCTTAGTTATATTTCGCCACTTCTCTAGTGCCAACAGGTGTTCCGCTGTTGAAAATCTAAAATTTGTTGCAAAATTTGGGAATTCAAATAGTATTTATTGAATGTTGATGATATTATTGCATATCTGACAATATTTAATTAGAGATGAGAGCACAAGCAATTTTACTGCAATCGTAAAAATTTCATAACAAATGCACATGTGTCAGAGCCTTTTCTGTGCATACAGTATTATAAGTACTGCATAGATAAAATTATATGAAAAAATGGGGAGTGCTTAACAATTAGCATCTTTTTGAGCAGCGTATTCACATCGAAAAAAATCCTAACAAATCCTCGATGTTGAAAAATTCTTGAGCTTCTTTGAAGTATTCAAATTTGTCATTGCCTGGTACGTCTATGCTTATTTTGCTGCTTGCCCTATTATTAAAAATAAAAACAAAATTTTCCTGCCCAAATAAACTCTGTCGATGTCGGTGCTAATACGTTATTGAAAATATATGCCAAGATATCTGTTTATCTGCTAGCTTACAGATAGCGGGTTCGATAATCAGCTGTTGAATTTATCATTGTTATTTGTGCTGCCGCTTTTTTGCATTAAAATCCATAACAATCTCGTTGAAGCGAGATCTGTCCGGCGGTTCATCAATTATTTTATATCGTGTGGAAGCTGACGTTCATCATAGGGAGGAAGATTTGCGGCAGCCATGCCCGATTTATTTTACTGAAACAGAGCTATAACGCAATGATATTTACAATTGACTAACGATTTAAAAGTGTACACTGTTCGAAATAATGAAAAAAACGGTCTGGCTGCATTTTAGTGCTCGGGTGCCCCTTGAAAATAAACGCTTTTGCCATTTTTTCCAATGATGGTAAATTATAAATTAGTGTTGAATAAAAAAAACGGTGACAAAGTATTTTTTTCTCGTGTCGGCCCAGCCATTAATGTGATTTTTCGAACATTGTATGTGCGGTGTTTAAGTTGCACTCGACTTATGCAAATTTAAAAATTAATAGTTTATTTTGATTCATTGTTGGGATATAATTGTAATTGAATTGCATTCATATACGGTTATGCTTTTTCTATGGTATTTCTATTTGTCAAGTGATATCAAATGTCGACAGAGGTTCTTGAACAAAATATGTAAAATTGAACCCGACCGGATCAATTTTAACTGGCTACCAGTTTGATCGCACCCTAGCTCCGTGACTAGACTAAATTTTATTGGTCATTTGAATCTCTGACTTCCAAGGCAAATTCCATCGTGTTTTTTAATAAGAAGCTAAAAGATTTAGATGAAATAACATTCAGTTTACCTTGTACAATTCTCTATGCTACCATAATCTGTCACTCTCAAAAGCGTCGCTTGCTGTAATTTAGTCTAGTGTAAATATTCACTATTTTCTTTAGTGAATCATTCCTTTTGTCTAGTGTGAATGTTCACTACCCTTAGCAATCGTATTTACATTTATGTTGTTTCAAGGCTCGTTAACTCACGCTTACACTCAGAGAAATGAGTGAGACTGTCTCGAAAAAGTGATGCACATTTTCCCCTTGTGCTGGTCATCCTGACACAATTCGGCAAATGTGTGTAGCAGTGCTACGTCCGTTCTTTGCACGTGATGTGGGTCAGAGAGTGGCACAATTTAAATATTATGACCAATTCATCATTCTGAGGGTAACTCCGAACGCGGAATTTCTCGGTCGGGCGGTGCGGTGGCTTGAAGCCATGCAATTCCCTTACAGCGGAAATTTTTATTTTCTTTTCCGTCGCCCTCGCGAGGGTGAAGCTTTAAGAAAACGAACCCTGAGCTTGCCCAGCCATTCTTTCAAGTTAAATGGTGGTGCGGGATGATCGTGCAAGGCAAACGCATCCCAAACTGCGTCGTACCTCTCAACATAAACCCTCTGTGTTGGAAAAACTAACGCACCTCCAAACACACCCTAAAAACACCACAAACGCACCCATAAATGCACACAAAACTCACCCCAAACGCACCTCTAAATGCACCCCAAACTGCGTCGTACCTCTTAACATACACCCTCGGTGTTGGGTGAACACACCAAGCCCTCAACCGCCAATTTAACGCTCAGAGCTTCGTTGGCTCTAGCTCGCGTTGTGCATTTAATCTGTTGTTCATGCCGTTATACTGATAAGCCTCTTGAATACGAGGCAAATATTTAAGAAAAAAGATTATAAAGCGAAAAATGCCGAAGCATTTAAATAAGTTTTTTATAAAATGTCAAAATTATTTGCTGATTAAAACATTTCCAAGTGGGAAATTTTTTGTTTAAGCCAACTATTTCATTAGAAGAATTATAAACTATTTTGAGAATAAAATTTATGATAAGCCAAGTCAAAAAAGACTAACCGCTTGTAAATAAATCGCCTGAGGTTGAATTCAGTATGTTGCTGAATTTTTTCACAAAACTGCGTCACTTTTTAACAAAACAGTCTTGAACAAAAATTTTGAGAAAATAAAAGTCTAGATAGCGAGCAGATCATATAGCAAACATTTTATTTCTTTCGTCACTTTGAAGAATAACATGTCGTCTGTGAAAAAAACACTCAATAAAGGAAAATAAGGTTGGCGAGTGTGAGGTATTCTCAACTCAGTATTATTGAAAACATATAATTTTAGATTCACATTCTCAGCACAGGACCTCATTTAATACACGACTACTAGAAACTTCATTAAATACGCGACAACTAGACGCTTCAATTTGATTCTTTGCAAAAACGGCTTTGCCTTCAGTCTCTGTCAGAGCCTCGAAAGTAAGTCATTTCTAACAAAATAAAATCATTTAAACTTCCTAATTTATAATAGGCTAGGCTGTCTTCGAAGTGTGCACATTTTATTTTTTCAGAATATCTCTGCACAGAGTCTTTTTGAAATGAAGGTTGGGATTCAAAGTGTTATCAATGAAGTGATGTTGCACAGGTAATTAGCTTGATAATGTGGCTAAGAAAATCATTAAATTCTATTTTGAGTTGAACTGAAATGCTAATTGACAAGAAAAGTGTTTTTTCAATGCCGTTTTATTTTTTTGGTTGAAAAATAAGTGTGAAGATTTACGGTTCAGGCCGCAATGGGAGTTTTGTTTGTGAGGGTTTGCCTCTGTTTCTATAACCAAATAAACATTTTACGATGCCCCTGTACGCGAAATGAAAGAGCATGTTTCTATTGGCTAAGCAGATTTTACTATGTTAGCCTTACAGTTTTTACATTACAGACCCGGTTTTCAAACTAAAAAAGTAAAATGTATGTTTTTTTATTTTGTGGTTGCAATTGTTTCATTAAAATGAAAGCCTAAGTTCGTTTACCATGCTGACGGACAAGTAAGAAAATTTTACTCTGAAGCCATTATTGTTCACTAGTCTCAGTTAGTTTGACTTGGTCAAAATCAAATAGGAATCACTGATTTACTTTAAAACATTATTGATCTCTAGCATCAGCCCCCGTACCATCCTGAATAACATATATTAAACAATGATTCTCTCTATAAGGCATTATTATTCGCTTAGCATCATCCCGCTTACCATGTTGAATAACAAATAGGAAACAGTGATTAATTATGAAAATATTTTTGTTCGCTTCAATGCCGTAATACTCACCGTGCAGGTACACTCCGTTCTGCAGTCCAGGAGGAAACTCGTCCCATCCTCGTATGAAGTCCCGTTGACAACGCACGGCAAAGACACCGCATCTTTTAACAAATGATTTGCTAATTAAAATAATGGAATTAATCTTAAAGAATGCTTATAACACATGCAATTGAGTTGTGCACAAACACAACTTTAAATTTAAATTTACTCTTAAATGCAAATCGAATGCAACGTAGTTTGTACCAAATATCCCCTACATATAAAGCAACTGGAACTGGAAGCTACTGAAGCCGGAATTTGAGATGTCTTATACATTGAATTCTAAATCAAGTTAGCGTTGTTGGTATTCTAAAGGCGATAACGAAAATGAGCTGGAATTTATTGAAAAAGTGCTTGAATGAAATGAATTTTTTTGTCCGTAAAAATAATTCTTGAATGTGCTTAAGTTTGGTCATTCATCTTTATGATTTTCATTCTTGATACAATGAAACTTTTAAAGTCTTGACACGGTTTACTAGTGTTTCATTAAAAATAATGCTTAAAACCGGCAAAAAAGCAAAACCGGCATTATTTTTAATGAAATGTGCATAAACGAAAGGGTCCATCCAAGAAATACTAATTTTAAATTGGTGTACTAATGGCTTACTACTGTCATTGCAAAGTAAAAAGCTCATGTTTCCTTGTCCAAATAATATTGCAATTTCATAACAACAGTACAAACATAAAACAAATGTAGCACTGATACGTAATTTTTGCCGGGCCCAACAGGGTCAGGATACAAAAGTCGAAAATTTTATCAGCCGTTGGACAAAGTCTTTACTCATTTCTCAAAGTGTAAGGTGTATTTTGACAGATAGAAAATAATTTAAAAAAATGAATAATAATTAAAAAATGAACGATCAGTGGATTGTAGAAATAATTTTAGAAATTCTATCCCTCGCCTGTACAGACGCCGATGGTGCCAGGCACGCGGTAGCGACACGTCTTGCCTTCAGGGCAGCTCCTCCGAGGGCCACAAACTTCTTCCTGTTCGGCAGGTCCATTCTCATGGCTCTCTCTTGGTCCTTTTTCATGGCTCTCTCTTGGTCCTTTTTCATGGCTCTCTGCTGGTCCTTTTTCAAGGCTCTCTGTTGGTCCTTTTTCATGGCTCTCTGTTGGTCCTTTTTCATTGCTCTCTGTTAGTCCTTTTTCAGGGCCCTCTTCTGATCCTTTTCCTAGGAAATCTATTGACGCCGCCTCCGCTCCGGTCACTTGAAACTCTCGAGACTCTGTTGCTCTGATCACCGAACTACTTGCAACGGGCATGTTGCCTCCACCCAGGTTCTCTAGTTTCTGAAAAATTACACAAAAATAGCACAGATAAGTATATTTATTTACTAACAATCATTTCGCGAGGTTTAAAATTGTTATGCCTGTATAAAACCGTTATAGACTGAGTAATTTTACGATGGGTTAAAATAAAATTTAGTTCAAATGAGTTTATTTGTTATATATTTATAACTGACGCTTGCACGGTAAGTACTAATTAATTACCTCTAAATAACGAATCAAACCATGCTAGGGATAACCTGCTTCTAAATAAAGAAAATGATCGCACCAAAGATCACTAACCTGTAAATTAAGAAACTAACCTCATCATGGATACTTCTGTGAAGTTCGGCTGTTCTTGCAAGACCACACTTGAAGCAAGAAGGCTTGGAAGCTTGCGCTCGCTCACTTATAGTTACTGTCATCAAAACCGTTACAAAAAGAAGGCACTGCAATTTTAACGTGTAATGTCCAAATTTACATTTAAACCCAAAATCTTCTTTTGACATAAACATTCCATCTCTCGGTTTGTGAGATACTTTTGAAGCTTTAGATGAAACTTCACATCTGCTAGAATGTATGTTTCTCCAGACCGCGGAAGAAAAACTGCTTTCTTTTTCGAGCGTGTGTGCGTGGCATGCGTTCTTTATGTCGCCCGCAGGTCTATCCAATGTGTCGTCAAACAGCCTCCCTCGAGTCGTGTGTTCCATATATGATGGGCTATGACCACTGCTAGGCCATTTTTCTACTTCCGGACGTAGGCCCACACGGCTGAAATGTGTTGTTGTATTTCGCCGTGTCCCGCGACGATCCTCTGGCAGTAAAATTTGCTTTACTGCCGCTATTTGTTGGCCAGTGTGAAGGTCTCCGGAGGACAACACTGAACTATTTCGAAATTCCATCGTTGAAACTATATTTTGTTGGATTACTTGTTACCGTTATCCTGGTCACCTGAAAAAAGAACATTTCCTCATAAATTAGCGTAATTAGGAATTAATTAGCCAATGAATGTAAATGACTCATCTTAAATATCTATTTTACAATGAAGAAATATTTTCTTATCGGCGTTAAGGGTCTTTCTTGTCAGAATGATTTATTATATGCATTATCCCATATTCACAAATAAAACGTATAGCACAGAATAACTTTAAATAGCCCCGAATAACCTGCTTTAGCAAAATATTTGTGATGAAAAAGAAAATTCCACCTTAGAAGCAAATTATTTGCACCCATAAGCTACACACATATTTTGGCTCAAAAAAATTTTACAGAGGAAGCATGCAGGCAAAAGACAGACAGGGAATTTGACCTCAAATCCCCGCAGTCAACTGCATGCCCAGAACAAAAGCTATTATCTGTGTTTAACGGAATATTTCTGCGCGCAGACCGCAGATCAATGCATCGCCATGAGAGCGATTCCATCACATCAAAAAGTGATGTTTTTACTGATTTCTGTCATAAATCATTCGTAAACTTAATGCACCGCTGCTGCCAAGCGAGTCCCGCATGAAAACTCTGTATTTGAGTTGGATTTCTTCAAAAATCTTCACAAGAAAACTGAAAGCTTCGCGAAGGGTCGGCTTCGACTTCTATTGAGCCTCAAATTGGGCCAAAGATTAAAAACGAAAAGCTTCGCTTCCGGGCGTAAAAAATTGCCAAACTCCGTCGAAAAATAGAGTGATCGATGCGCATGGCCTTTTACCTCTCAAAGGGACACCCAGTAAAGAGAATGAGAAACAATTATCTTCAAAGACCAAGTGACATTAACTGTAAAATACTCGCTCTAATAGTTCTTCCAGCGCCGACCTCCGCAGACTGAAGATTCTCTCTCATCTTGACTTCAGTGAGTTAATATTGTTTCGATAAGAACGCTTCAAAGGATTTCATGGCATCTTTTCTCGGTAAATAATTGCTTGGGCTGCAGAAACTTTTGAAGCTAAGAAGTTATCGTCAAAGTCGATACTTTTGAACCAAATTTACGCGTGATTACAGCGGTCTTGGTAGCACATGATTTGGCTACAAAGCATGAGCTTTATTCATGCGATAATTCTTTAATTTTCAATTCATGTGGATGGATATATGTATTTTTATTTCGTGTGTTGTGTCTGGCTTCTTTAAAATATAAATGATTTTTTTTATTTGAATGAATTTGCGATGGTTTCAGACTTTATAGATGATGTTATATTAGGTAAATTCATTAGGTAAATTTACAAGTGAGAATACATAATCATAAATAACAGATTTCGGGGGAGATAAGATACACATTTTTGCCACTCAAATAGAAAAAAATATATCACTGACAATTATTTACAATTGCAAAGTCACGTTCAGTTTTTTTCCTGAAACTTTGAAAAAAGTCACTTCTATACAAAATTTTACGTGCGCACCTGCGCGTGAGTTAATTTAAATAAAAAGATACCAAATTAGTAGGGCTTTGCAATCGCTCACTCCGTGTGCGTTGTACAATGTTTGCTGCTCTCTGAGGTTCATGTTGTGCTGCTCTGTGTGGTGCTGCTTTGTGTTGTGCGTGCGGTGCTGCTCTGTGCGAAATGTGTGAGGTGCTGCTAGTGCTGCTTTGTGTTGTGCGTGTGATGCTGCTAATGCAGCTTTGTGTGGTGCGTGTGGTGCTGCTAGTGCTGCTTTGTGTGGTGCGTGTCGTGCTGCTAGTGCTGCTCTGTGTGGTGCGTGTGGTGCTGCTAATGCTGCTTTGTGTGGTGCGTGTGGTGCTGCTAGTGCTGCTTTGTGTGGTGCGTGTGGTGCTGCTTCTGAGTACTCTCATCTGTCGGGTTTACTGAATAAATGCGCGAAAAATTCGAAAGACCGTTTATATTTTTTAATATAAATAGAAACAATTTAAAAACTGCAGGCATTTAAACTTAGATATGCCATAAAAGAATTAGTCCTCATGTTTTACAGCCCCAGGAGGATTAATGATAATTTAATTTCGCAAAGTTGATTAAAGTAGTAATGGGAAGTCTCTATTGATATATATTGTCCGACGGTGTGTAATGTAGATATTTTGGCTTATGTTACGGCGGGAGCGGTACGATAGGGACAGCGGCGGATGTCAGGGCAATCATGTGGTAGTAATATTTTTTAAATAATGTGTGTAAATAATATGTTTGTAAAAATATGTTTGTAACAATTATGATTTAATACTTTTTCAGTACTCAAATATTGCGCTTTCAAGACGAGGCTTATGGGCTTATTCATGTTATAACGAATGAACACTCATTGTTCTTAACTACTTAAATACAGTGTACTTAAGTTCATAAATTGATATTTTATAATATGTTGTAGAGGGAGAGTTTCATTTGTGTTATCGCGCCTATATACCTTGAAGAGATATCTGATAGATCTGATGATAGATCTTGAATGCAGCATGCTGCGTATAACTCGATATAATTAACCATAATAATACAATTACCATATTGTGTAAAGCTTTTAGTTTCAATTTGGCATTGCGTGAAGAAAAGATTTTTAAATACATTTTCTTTAAAATTCCAAAATTAAACTTGCAAAATGCCTAACTTTTCTGAAGAATAAATGAAGCATAGAACAAGTCTCTTGGTGTGGGAAAGTGCTAATGTGAGCTCATTGGAAGCAAGCAGTTTATCACCAGCGTTGAATTCTCTTTCGTTTGTTATATATTGAGAATGTTGAGAAATTTTAGAATAATGATTCAGTAATGTTGGAAAGCATTTCAATTGTGACGATCATCATGTACTAACTGAATACTTTTATTTTTGAAATTGAAAATTGTAGTCTGATATATGTTGATATTTTGGTTTATTTTACGAAATAAAAACGAAAAACACAGCTCATCAATGCAGCGGCAAGCGGTAATGAAATAGCCTCTACTTTCATATAAATTTTTGATCATGACGAGTGGTTTGTGTTCATTGCTTTCAATTTTAGCTCACTGAAAAAAATACCATTTACATAAGAAAATGTTTACTATACTACCGCCAATATCTCCCATTTTATATTCTTTCCAATTAACGACTTTTTCAACCCAAACGCGATGAGTACAAAGAATCTTTGCTCGAAATAATTGTTGAAAGGAACACAATACAAAAAAACGCATGAGTTAGTGAGTATAAATTATTTAATTTATAAGTATATTTTCACTTTTAAGTTATCCGAACAAACATAAAATTGCACAAACAAATAATCGCGACAGCTTCTAAATAGACTAATTTTCTATTTTGACAGAGAATCTCAAGCTCTAGTTTGTGATGTAGTCTGGGCGAAATGAATTGTGTCCAACATCTGGTCGCCTTTATCTCCTTTCAGTCGTATGAAGTTTCAGCTTAGGAAAGGTAGCAGAAAGGCTGAGGGAAATGAAAGTCATTTATCAAGTGTCGCCTCGTCCGGCAAGCGCATAATAATGTCGCAGCTTCATCAGAAGTTTACCCCACAATGCAGCTGACCGAAGCTAATGTCTTCATACGACGACCAGCTCCAGAAAATTAAGAGCAAACCGAGATATGCTCTCCTAATCAAGCATAATTGCGCCGTAAATGTGCCCTAGCAAAGCACAGTACACTTCAAATGAAGCAACTTTACGCTAATGGCCCCAAGTTATGAACTGTAACTTAGACAGAAATGATCTCTATGAAGGGACGAGCGACTCAATGAAGGCGACTCACACCGTAGATTTCAGTCTCCTGAGTGGGGCATTGGGACATTCGATTACTACAAACATGGTATTTAATAAGTAGCTCTTTTGTAGAAAATCTTTCAATTTGGTTTCACAACATGTAGCTTTATAAATTTTTTGTGTACATGTGAAGAATGAAAATTGGCTCGAATGCACTATTCAATTCGCGTGAGTTTTTGATTAATTCGTTATTCATGCCATGTGTTTTAAATCGTATAATTATACATATAGAAATACATTCGTATTACATACCATCCGGCATTAGAGGATTTGAAGAAAAATTTACGAAACGGTGCATATGAGTCTGTTAAAATCTTACAAAAGTCTAATTACAGTTAAGAGTCATGAATTCTCCGTGTCGCGTTGATGGCTTGATGGTGACCATTCCATCAATTGCACTTTAGGTGTACATATGTATAACTGAACACCGACAACGTTACATTATCTTCAGCGTCTCTAATTTCATCGTCGGTGCGTGTAAATTCATCGCTAGTGTCTGGAACAGACTATTTCCATGGGCATTTTTCACCGCCAATAAGTTGAGTATAATCACTGCTCAAGCCCAAATTAATTAATGGAAAGCTGTGATCGAATGTGGCTCCATTAATTTTAAATAAGTTCGGACGATACTGCCAGTTCAATGACGCCAAATTTACGATAAATAAATATAATTAGGATGCAAAAATGTGACATCCAATAACCTCTGTCCTGATAGGATATACTTGATTAACTGACACGCGAGAGTCTGAAAGATTAAAGATTAAAGTGATAAAATTTAAATGGGATACGTGATTACACTCTCATTATTGGAGTGAATTTTCATGTACATAAAGCAAATAAAGTTGCTAATATAAGTAATAAAGTAATTCTAGTGAATTTTTTCAGTATTTTTAAAGCCAACGATACGCGCTTGAAACGCGGAGCTCGGATCGAGGTTAATCCTGTTAATCAGCGAGAAACATAAAACCGCATAATGAAATGTGCACGAGTAAAAAAAATTAAATATTGTCATAGTTTCAGTAACGGGAATTTTTACGTACATTGATTGATTCTAAAGCTTGAATTAAAAATGTTATCACTCGCAGCTTAAGTTTTGTTTCCAATTAACATAATAAAATTTTGCGTTGTGAGAAGACCGAAGGAAAAAAACATTTTTCATATTCTAATATTTTATAATCGATTCCTGCGTAATAAATTTATTCGCTTGCCAACGTTTAATTGGTGGACTAATTGTGCCAGACTTGAGAATCCTTCTGTTCAAGACGCTGGAAAGCTTGTCACAATCAATACGTAAAAGTCTTATGCAGTCGTCAGGGTAAGACTGCCTCATGTTTCTTGTAGAATAGCAATTCTTTATTCACTTTGAAAATACGAGTTGGGTTCATACGTGAATAGCAGAAGTAATTAACAGATTAAACCAAAATAAACTCTTATCCAATTTCAATCTCTATTCATTAAAGAAGTCGCAACCAAAAAAACAGTCAACAAATTCTCAATGGCACTTTCAAGCAGCATAAAACTATAAATATATTTCCCTTACTATTAATGACAAAATGATTCAAGATTTCTCTTAGCTTGAGTTGCTGATATTAAAGTGATGAATAACTCAAACCATTCCCGTGATGGTAAACATGGCTGGGGTTAGTGCAGGGCGTGTTGTGTACGGCTTCTTAGCAATGTACAGAGACTAACTCTTATTTTTCTCAGTCTTATAAGTTAAAAGCAACATAGTAACCAGCTTAGTCCTTGTTTGTAAAGTTTGTACCACCCTTTGAGATGAAATATTTTATCGATAATAAATTCAAAATCTGTTTTTCGTTCACTGACCTGAATAATGAAAGACTACTTGTCAATAATATCGCTCACGCACGTGAGTCAATAGCTTCCTAGTACTCACCTCAGCCAGTTTTATTCAGCTCGTATCAAAGGGATTATGGAAACCTCGGCAAGAATTTTTTAACCTTTATTGAGTTTTAATCAATGTAATAAATGTCGGGAAATTCTCACTTTAGCCAGGTAAGGCTATCGAGGGCTGCGGCGACACTCGCTTGTGATCAGCGCACATAACCTCTCACCACAACGGCCAACAGCGCACTGACCTGCTCCAGCCGCGGCAATTCTAAGTACAAATCTAGCCATGCTCAAATACACATGTGCATGCATATCTACTGTATATATGGACTCTTTTTCTGATCCTCTTGACTATAACACATTAATATAATCAATCAGTCATTATAATCGATTTTATCATTACAATTTTTTTTAATCAGTCATATTTATTTTCATAATTCGGATTCATTTTAATCATCCATATCATTTGATTGACATTAATCATTGAAAACCATGTAAAGTTCTTTTTAATTTACCTTATCAACTTGTCAAAAGTAACATCTGCCACCATTTTCCAATAAACCTAGCAGATACTTAAATGTATGATTTATTGTCCGTAGAGTTTTTGTATCATCTTCACATGCCTCGTATGATCAGCGCTGTTCTTTGTATTCAAGTTCTTATTGTTTGATATGCTTAGTCGCTCTTCGAATACAATAATTTAATCATTTGGTAAATTTTTGTCGATTACATGAAATTACGAATAATAGATATATAATAATATTATTTTTATTACAAATCACTGTAAAGAAATTAATCACTAATTAATCTTCCCTATTTGCCCCCTATATCTATTTTGAATTGTACAAACTGGGTTTTAATAATTTTTTTTAATCGGATTAAAATAATTCAAATTCAATCAAGAAGCCAATTATGCTTTTTCTAACTTCATGGAAAGTTATCCATAAGAAGTAGTGCTGAAATTAAGCACATTCTTAGAAATATTCTTTGCACCAAAATTTTTTAGACCTGAAATCGCACTAGGCATGCTTCTGATACAGTTTCATAGGATCCTCAACCCATTCTTCCAAGACAAAGAGCTTTGCAGCCACCGATTGTTCGATGGGCCAGCCCCAAGCCGCAAAAAATGGGGCTAAATTTTTCTTGACTTGGTTGGAAAAAACTTGAGCGTATGTGTTCATTTTGGACTCATTTGAGCTCCCGGTGGTAGAGGCGATGTACCTCAATGAAGGCGTCCCAACCAAAGGCCTCCTGCAGCTGCTCAAAAAATATAAATAATAATAATATAATGATAATAATAATATCAATAATAATAATAATAATAGTAATAACATTAAATAAATATTAATAAAGAATCAAACCTTTTACAATACATCCAGATTTCGTCAGAAATTGCTTTGGAATAAATGGTAATATGTCAGATAGGAGGAATTCTCGTTAGGTACAAAAACCTTCCTATCTTTGTAGGCTTTTCAACGTTATTGTATGACTCAAACTTGCTCCCTTTCCGACATGTTCTTCGATTCTTTGGCGCCGCTGTTCGGCTGCTAGATGGATGTGTGCTCGATGTGAGGGAACATTCAAGACTTTCTCGTGCACGTAAACTGACCAGAGGTTGCAAGTCGCTTCGGTGGTGTGAGGATAGATCTCCCATTTGGAATTTTGTTGGTTGTGGCCGAGCTCGTGGATAAAGCCCCACATGCCAACTGAAGAAATACGATTCAAATCCACCATTTCTTTCGCCGAAGTGTCGTGAACCATAATGGGGTAGCCACTGTGCATGAAGCCTGTGGGGTTTTGTTTTTTATTATAATAGATTTTAAGCTTGTGATCATAGTTCATCCATACAATAATTATGCGTACTGGTGAGAGGGCAGGGTGGCCGAGTGGTTACAGTTCAGAGTATTACGATTGGAGCAGAGGGTTGCAGGTTCACTGCGACAGTTTCTGGTCAGAATCGGCTAGGAGGCCGGGCGGTTGAGCACAACAAAATTGGAGCAGTGAGTTGCGTGTTCGAGATCGCAACAAGCTGTGAAAGTTCTGCGACGTTAAGAATCGGCGACTAGTCTAATGGTCAAATGAAGACTGGCATCGCTATACTGGACTACTGTAAAGCTGATAACAAACTCATAAATATTTTTATGACCCATTTCATAAACATATTGCAAGAAACGAATTTTTTTCCAAATGCCTCCGTGAAACATTGATGCAAAATAATGAATAGGCAAAATATTCTTGATAAACCATAAAAAATTATAGAAATCCGTTAGTTAGCTACAAGTTGAGGTGATGTGAAGATAACGTGAAATGACCAAGTTTAAATCTGATGAACTGAGCACTTGCAACTGTCAGCCAGGCGGACCTATTTCGTAGTGCCCTTGAATGTTGTACATAGCTGTTTTTTTTTTATTATTATCCATTTTTGTATCTCATTTATTGCTCAACTTTAAATATATGCATAGTTTCCTAAGTTGTGACGTGCCTTCGAAGTTTTGTACCAGAGGTCACGATAATCTCATCGTAGAATAATAATGATAATCACCTGCCGAAATCTGGACAATATCATAATAAAAAATCATCGTCCAGTTGACCAGAGACTCGCATGTGTTGCGAGTAGAATATTTTATTTGAATTATTCGAAACAACGAAACAATGCTTTTATCTAGCAAGGACATTATCATTTGAGCAAACAGCGATGAAAAATTTTCGCCGTGGCCATCTGACTGCTTCCCTTCCGAACATCATTCATATCTACGCGAACAATTGTCCTTGATTAAGAGAAAAATTAATTTTTAATGGATTTTCTTACAATTTGCATCGGTTTTTACATGATAATAAACAGAACAGACATAAAATAATCAGAGAATCAAACCATGTTGCAACATTTTGTTGTAACTTCCTTCAGTTTCGGCTTCCTGAAGGTATTATCTAAATCTCCCTAATTAGCTCCATGTGAGCCGTATTAATCATTAGGCGTAAACCAGGAGATGTGAGGTGTAAATCAATCAGCGTGTATATATTTCAAAAGACTGAATAGAATACTGATAAAATAATACACTTTATCAGTATTCTTACTGATAAAGTAATACATTTTATCAGTATTCTATATAACAAGGCCAAAATTTCTTAAATACTTGCATTGGTTTCAGTAAAATCTTTACAGCCAATAAATATGTTAAGAACAGAGTAAACATTTCTCTCGGAGTTTCTTCTTCTCGATATAATAATATTATCATAGCGAATAATTATAACTATTAGAATAAAGCAGAATAAGTTTCCTCCAATATACCTGCCACTTGCCATCAACAACTTCCTGTGGCACAATGACTGTGATGCGTGCCCCAGGCGGCGCGTACAGGCCGGTGCTCTCCCATCTGCCATGCATTGCTAGTGCAAAATGACCTTTATTATTGATTGCATCGCATTATATTTTAGTTGACAGTAATTTTGCGTCGCATCAAATGATAAACTTAAAGCGCAGAAAAATTACGGTATATAGCTCAAAATTACCTTTAACGCTGCAAAAACATCTTGAGCAAAATCATTAATTTAAGTATTTGACTCAATAAACGTTTGGAGTTTAAAAAAAATGCCTAACGTTATCTTTTGCTCATTAGATGTGATTTTTATTTGATTAAATTGTTAAATAGTAACAACTAGGACTGTTTAAACACAACAACTCGGAAGCTGAGAGGTATTTACCTGCATTGCCAGCCTCGATTTTGATCGACAGTTCGCTTTCAAGATCAAAACTCTGACGATGAGGAAGTAACGTCGCTCTGTCAAGGAGTGCGTCATAAAGATCCGCCGCGACAGCAAGAGCTAACTTTTCTTTGGGCTTTTTAAACTTTTTTTTTATTTTGATTCAAGATGCCATTGTCTACAACCAAATTTTTTAGAGTGGCCACCAGGTTTTCAGAGCAAGGGTTGCAATGATCCCTAATATTCAAGGTCTCAGCGATATCTTTGACAAGGTTTTCGTAAGACTGAACGACATCACTATCGTCTTCGTTAGAAATAAATTGACATAGCATTTCATTAACGCTCGCGCACTGAACGGAGTTGAAAACATCTCCGTTCATCGTGGGTGGCAGAATTCCTACCCCAAGAGGATTCAACACTTTGTTTCCTGGAAATTCCGACACACTTTTCTTCATTAGCTCGAGGTCTGACATGTGCCAGTCACTGCCGCACCAGAGCAGACCTCCTCCCTCCGCCACAAAAGCTTCTATTGCAGCTGGCTGATGTTGAGTCATCGCGCTACAGCAATAAACTCGCACATTATCCAGATCATCTTCCGTGCATTCGAACTTTGGATCCAGTATTTTAGACAAACTGTTCATTTCATCGTCGAAAGCGATAGGTCCTGTAACATCGCTCTTCAAAAGCCATTTGAGGATATTTTGAAGGAAGATTTGGCCGTTCTTAGTCTCGAAGATCGTGCTTTTTGAAGTAGCTACGAATCGGCCAGTCCCGAGTCGTCCAGCTACAGCCAAGCCGCTCCTCTTACACGAGACCGGTACGGGAAAATTCTTCTGGTCGAATGAGAACAACACCGGAGAGTTCCATTCGCATTCCAGGTCTTGGCCGTCTAGTTCACTCAGTAAAATCTTCAAATCGTCGTCTGCTTGGAAATTGATCCTGAGAAGAAATTATTGCATAAATTATTTTGGCGACATCATGCTGCAACGAATATTATTGTTAGATTTGATAGACATTAGAAAAATTTCATGACACTCGAGTGAAATTCCTGTCCACCTATTCAAGCATATATTTAACGTATACATCTCATTCAAGTAACATTTCAAATCATTATACAGTGGTCATTTCAAAGCAAGCCTTGCTCGAATTATACCTGAGAGTTGACTGTTGACAAGGCCTTCGATCCGAAATGTTCACAGGGTTTTCACAGGAAAGGTTCCGTCCTGAGATATAAATTCCCGCAGGAGCTGTGATTAGGTTGCCCGGGAATTCTTCGAGGAGATTCTTGTCCTCATTCTGATACGCCCAATACCAAGCTTGGCCGCCTATCAGAAGTCCCCCTCCGTTTTTCACAAACTGGATCACTTCTTTCTTTTTAAAATTTTCATACGCAGTGCAGCAAAATACGTCTATGTTTTGTAAATCGTCGGAAAGCGTCACTGTGAATTCCTTCTCATCAAGAATATTCTTGAGCCTATGTAAGCTTCTGCTGATACCTATAGTCTTTCCATGACTTGTTTGAAGCCAAGCCAAGGCATTGCGTACAAATGATTGAAACTCTTCCCTGAAGAGGTATGCTTCGTGTGATAGGACGACAATCCTTCATTTACCGTGTGTCGCAGCTGCGATCAGAACCTCGCCAGTTTCGAGAGCGCTTATGGGCACAGGGTTCGCTCCTGTTAAGATCAGTTCGCAGGGAA